GCCACCGTAAGGCACCATTGACGCCAACAGTCTCGTTACAACCGGGGTCAAGCTGATCTCCATGTGGTTGCCACACTCACTACGCGCCCCTTTTTGACAACGGGCACTACCACCCATTCTCCCCAGTTGTCTGGGACAGACTCCTTTTCCCAAATGCAAGCAAACAGATCGGATAAGGGCTGACTGAGGACTTCACCCCCGTCTTTGAACAGTGCGGGTGGAAGGTCATCCGGACCGGGAGCTCGGTGGCACTTGAGAGAACGTATGCAGTCGTAAACCACCGAGGCTGCAGGTGGTTACACGTTACACGGTCGGATCGCAAACTCACTTTCACTTGACGCCTGATGGCTTTTCGCACGCACTATGCAAAGAGGTGGCAATCTCGTCCCAGTATGAGTTCACATCTGATGGTGGAGCATTTGGGAGAGACTCTAGAAGACTATTCTTGTAAGTTCGTCTGACATCCGGATCTGCCAATCTTTCAGTTGCCATGCGATTTGTCCGCACCTTACGCGGCCCCGGGAAACGTAGGGCGAAGCAACTCCGGACGAGCGCGTGGTCAGAGTGCACAAATGTGTTCCAAAACGACCGGCAGTCAGTTATGGACCCGCGCCATCGGTAACCGATGGCAACGTGGTCGATTTGAGTTTGTGGCCGGCCTGTTGTAGGAGGACACCAAGTGGCCAGACGACTTCGGCTATTTCGGAAGTTAGTACTGCATAAAAACAGCCTGCGATCAGCACACAGCTGAAGCAATCGTTCCCCATTGTCCGTACGTACCGAGTCCAGTCCATGTCGACCTCCCAATTGAGTCTCAGATGCACTGAGCCTGCCCACTTGCGCATTCATATCTCCGGCAACCACCACAATGTCTGAGCTTTTAGCTCGCCGCAGCAGAGCATTCAGGACGTCGTAAAACCTGTCCTTGACGGCGTCAGAGCTACAGTCAATTGGGGCATAGGCAGACACGATAAACAGACATCTATCAACTTGCCGCTTGTGAGACTCCTTCACAGACGTTGCCAGACGAACCGCACAGAGGCGACGATCAACAGGTATCCAGTCAAGTAAGGATACTTCCGCCCGGTGACTTAGCACAATACCAACCCCTGCACACCCCACCGCAGCAGCCTCTGGATCACTAGAGGTGCGTAGCCGGAAGCGAGTGGAGACTGACGGGGCGGTTAACTCAACCACTGTGCTTGCATCTTGAATTCTCGTTTCTGAGACACAGCACACATCAATGCCAAGCGAGTCCAGTGCGAGTGCAAGAGCAGCTTGTTGTCCTGCTTGCTTCAGAGTGCGAACATTGAACGCGACCAGATAGAGGGGGTGTCGAGGCTTGAGGACTGATTTGGAGATTCCTGAAGA